ATAACAGCAAATGTACAACGTCGAAACGTTGTACATTTGCTGTTATATTAAAGTTTTTCTTCATTACCCATTCAAGCCGTCTCCAGCCATTATAAATTTGATATCAGTGTAATTTAGTTTGTGGGGTGGGGTCGCAAGATACCTTTGTGCTGATTGACGGAAATATAAAGGAATTGTAGGCCAAAATGCTTGTTTGTAATGTTTGATATGTAACCCATAAAATCAGAAGAGGGGTTGAAACAAATATAAAAAATGTGCATTGAATCAAGGAATATCAAGGAAGGACTTTGACATACTCACATTACAAACAAACTGCAATATAAAGAAATCTCATCATTTGTGTGAACATTCATGCACATTATAATAATGATAATAATGTTAGAGCTGTTTTTGAAGTCTAATTTGTTAGCCTAAAATTTGACGATAGTTCTAAACATTCAAAGGTTCATCAAGTGGTATTTAAGTAGTGTCAGGTTTTTTGTTTTTCTTTTGTTAACGGAAACAATTTGACAGTGTTTGAATAAGGTTCACACATTAACTCTCTCTCAACGAGATTCACCCGACCTTGTAACCATTTTGTAGTCATTATAGTTTCCATACTATAACTTTTAATACAGTAGGTGTATCTTCACACAATTTGACAGACTTTTAGTAAACATTACATGTCTTTTATACACAAAATATCATTGTTTTAATGAAACATTTTTACTAAAGATTTGTCCATGAATATGTACTTTTTTTTTTACTAGTCCAAGAGTAGTTATTTCCACTTTAAGATTAAAAATACTTTTATTTGTCTCAAAAATTTCAAAGTTTTTTTGCATTATCTCTAAAACCTTGTAAATAAATTTTTTTAGTGAAACTTTGTTTCATCTTTTATTTTCTCTACCCTAACTTTATATGAGGTTGGTCGAATTGACCAACCTCGTAATCACCAAAAAGAAATCGAAATTACCCTTTTTTCTTTCTAGAATGACATCGAACTGTAGATACTATTAATTTTGATATCATTATGGTTTCTCTTAAATTACTAGGAAAGAGACAAATCCATTAATATAAAGGAATAACAAAGACATTAGGATGAATTGTAGCTTAAAATTTTAGCTTGTTAGTATTTCGAAGAATATTTTCTCTTATCTTTCAATTTACAGAATGTTTTTTCTTTCTCTTCATATTCAATAGTATTTTCCAGATTTGTTTATTTCCTGTTCTTCATTAGAAAAAATGTATGCACATGTACTTAGGTTTTCTAATGAGTGAAATTATGTGTGTTTTTATCTTTTAGTTGAAATGGAACAGTCTGAAAGTGAACAGTCTGTTAAACATGATCATAGTAAAGATGATCGAACTGTGTTTTTGAGTAATCTTGCTTATTCTGTAGCAGAGGAAAACATCAAAGAAGTCTTTTCAGAGGTAAGTCGAAATTTACAAATTTGGTAGAAAAAGTTCAATACTTTTTACTTTATGATTTTTTTAAGTTGGAAAAACTTTGGTATAGATATATATTTAATTTTTATTAAATTATAAACTTTCAAAATTTTATTAACATTTCTTTACTAATAATTGTGGCCCGGCATGGCCAGGTGTTTAGGGTGCTCGACTCTCAATCTGAGGGTCACGGGTTCAAATCCCCATCACGCCAAACATGCTCGCCCTTTCAGCCATGGGGTCATTATAATGTGATGGTCAATCCCACTATTCGTTGGTAAAAGAGTAGCCCAACAGTTGGCTGCCTTTCCTCTAGTCTTACACTGGTAAATTAGGGACTGCTAGCGCAGATAGCCCTCGTGTAGCTTTGCGTGAAATTCAAAATAAACAAACAGGCAAACTAATAATTGTCATTTTGTTGAATCTTTGGAAAATTATTTCTAACTTGAAGTGGATTTATAATACTTTCCATGTTTTCATCATTTGTTACATATTCATAAACTTTACAATAAAATGAGTCTGAAATTATTACATTTTAATAATATATATACATTTATGATTGAACAAGTTTATTGCTTGACTCTGAACAAAGGTGACTGACACACTTCTCAGTAATCTTGTAAAAACATGATATCTTTTTCAGGATTTATTACTGTTTTCCAGAGAATCAGAATGTAAGTTTCATTCTGATATAGTATTTCTGAATGAGACTAGTTATATACTATTAAAATGAAATCTGTCATCTAAAAAAACGTTTTTGCAAAAACAAATTAAGTATATGAGTGTCAACTTATTAACTCTATTTTGATTCTCCCTCGTGCATATGTGTAGAATTTATAGAACTAGAAATATTGGGCACTTTTTCTCACAGGCTGAGGACCCAAAAATTGTAACGTAAATGTGAGTTCATTTTAACTTTAAATTTTAATTCAAAATGTGGGACAATGACTATTAGGAAAAGATTTAGAATAAAAACATCTCTCCAACAAACATTTCATTAAAATCCCAAATCCAGCTGATCATTTTACCTTTAAATATTTTACAATGTATAATTTCTAAAATACTATTTTAGTTTTATTTTATTATAATTTCCATTTGTTTTAAACTTGGTAAAAATACTAAGTAGTTTGGAAAAGAATGTTTATTGTAACTTTAATGACACTCATTTGTCAGTTTTGATACCCTGGGTACTTAAATGTGACCTAGTGTATAAATTAAAATCAGAAAAACAAAACAGTTGCAAAACATAGACAATACAAAGAAAGCAACATATGTTTGAAATTAATTCAGATGTGATCAGTCAACGTCTGTTTTTACTGATGTAGTTTGTATATTTAGTACTATATGGTTAGTGCAGTTAGTTATTATATTATTTATTGTAGACTTATGACCTTCCACTTGTTCAAGTTTTATATTGGTAAAATTAATGAATTAAAAAAATGATTTTTTTCACAAGAAGTTGAGACCATCAGTGAGGATTTGCATTCTTTGAGTGAAAATGTATGGACAGACCAAGATTAGCAAGGTTTACGACTGACTGTTAGAGACATCATATACAAAACACTTCTGACAAAAACATATATCATTTGCTCTGTGAAAAATTTAAAGTTATAAATCATCATCTTATTTATTTTCTTCTTACAGCTTGGTGAAATAACAGAAATAAGGTTAGTGAAGGACTATCGAGGTCGATCGAAAGGATACTGTTATCTAGAATTTGCTTCACAGGTTTGTTTAATATATACATCAGTTATACATTTTAGATGGTGTTTTAACATTGTTGCTGTGTTAGTTGCTTTATTGGTATTATTAAAGATATTTTTTGGTGTAGCTTTATGCGGTGCATTATATAATACATGCAAGAGAGTTCTACAGTTTCCACCCCTCTTCAGTTTCCTTTACATCTTACTCTGTCATAGTTCTTGACTTATATATGTGTGTGTTTTGATTGTGTTTCTTGTAATAAATTAACTTTAAGTATCAGATAAATGTTATTGACACCTCAAGTTGTTTTTAATATTATAACATGTTTCTTGTCTGTCAGCTTTATTATATAAACTGAATTACCTAATGTCTTCTTCCCACTCTGCTACAGAAAAAGTGACTTGTTCTATACACAAGAAAGACTTACTAGTGGGTGTTAACAAGTCAAAATTAAAACCAGAGTACTGATCTGTGACAAACCAGTACTTAGGTTTTCATTTTAAACTATCTTCACCCATGGGTAAGCCCTTTTTTCTTATTTTAAACTTTGGTGTATGGTTCTTGTTTCTAAGGGCTAATATGGTGAAGGAGTTTTTTCTTTGGGTTATTCTAAACAATTATGAGTATTGGAAAGATAAATGTCATGAATTCTATAGAGGTTCAGTTATAGAAATGCTGATGAATGAAATCTATAACATTATTGTAAACATCTTTTAAGCAGAGTAACATACACATCCAGTTATTTTATTCTGTTAATCAAATTCACATTACTAATTCCCTGCTAATTGTGCTATCCCTTCATTGAACCTTAGTTAAATAATGTACAAATCAATATTTTTATGAATTAAAACAATGTATTTCTTTTTTAAGGACACAACGTCTACAACGTATGTTGAGTTCTTAAAAAATAATTGCATCGTCATCAAATCTATGACATGTCTCTATGATTAGATACTTCATACTTATTTGTTCATACTATATGAATTGTAATTCTACCCATTTGTTAGGGATCAAATACTAGAACATACATCTGCTTTGAGCCTGAAATAGATTTCTCATTTACCTGATTCTGTTCTATGTGGCATATACACTTTGCTAAAAAAAACAAATGAAACTCAAGGTCATTTGCATGTGAAACTTTGAATGACCAGTAATTCTGAATACAGAAAAACAATCACTGTGACAACCATTTTCGTATCTATTTTGCTATTCTGAAAAAAAAAAAAACGTTTATTATTATTTTAACATAATGCAAAAAATCGTTCCATGATACCAAATTAGTGTTTTAACTGTATACAGCAGGTATTTTTTTTAACAAACTTGAATGGATACACTTACAGTTCAATACAAGAAAAAAAAATTAATTTTCAAAACAGGCTATTCTTTTTTCTAATTAACTAATTTTTTGTATTGTAAATTTATTTGTTAAATGAAATTCAGTTAAAACAAACATGGTTCATTGAGATTTAAATTAAAATGTTATAATTTATATTGAATATTTAGGGACTACAATATGATTATATAAAGTAAGATAATGTGTTCTATAAGAAGCATATTAAAAACTTCCTGTATTGTTCATTGTAATATTCCACAATTTTCAGTCATTCATGAAATAAAAATAGCAATTAACAAAATCTTAAATATTTCGAACTATATCATAAAACCAAACTTCATTGAACTGCATCACAGAAAAGTGCTTAAATTATTCTAGGTGTGACCTCGAAGCTTTAATTTTTATTATCAATTTGAAATCCATTTATTGTAATCACTTTTGGTTTAAATCTTATAGGACAGTATAATGTGTCACACCAGTGATGTAAGTCAAGTTTTGTAAAAAGCTAACTGCATGTGAATACTCCAAATTTATAACCCAAGGTAACCATATCTGTTAAATGTGTATTCCGTTTCAAAATATGTGTAGTTGTAACTATGAATTGCAGTACATTATTTAATTCAGGTGATAGACCAATTCCTTGTTGTAAACATATATCAACCCTCACAGTAATTTACACGTTAGGTATATTATTTTGAATTTTTTGTAGAGTCTTTCATGCATTAATCATATTGTCTCAATTAATTTATTTTCATAACCTTGTTCAGTACTTATGGATGTTTGAATACATCAATTACTGGGTATTTAGTTTGGTTTCTTTATGCAGATCATGTGGAGTATTCTTTCAGTTGTATTATTTGCCTGACTCACAGATCTCTTGGATACCATAACAATAATTTACTGGATTTTAAATTTTCTTGCTGGAAAACCATTGAAGGTTTGTTTTTGAGTGTTATTTATTGTTTTTATCAATTTCCCTACTACACTATCCTAGGAAGCAGCTAGAGCAGCATTAAAGAGAGATAGACAACCAGTTGAAGGACGACCTGTATTTATCTCTAAATGTGAGGACAAGAGTATGTCTCTAAATAAAAATAAGTTCAAGGTAAGCTACCTATGCATAGAGAACTGGCAGATTACAAGATTGTTTCATTTTTAAGCTGTGACCTTATTGCCAGCAGTCATTTCGTAACTTACTATAAATACATATTTCTCATTGTCTTATCTAGAATAGTGGGAGCTGCAGTGAAGTTTTTTTCTTAGGGGCTGCCAAAAAATAGGCAGAAAACAAAGATGTTGAATCAATTTTAATTCTAAATAAACAATTAGCTGATTAAAAAAAACAAACAAATTTTGTTGAATTAATTAAATGATACAGTATGTCAAAAGGAGATGTTATTGTTTTTACTACAGCACTGTTTTTCAATCACCATGCTCAAGTAGTGGGGGGGGGGACAACCATATCAGTCGGGTGCAAGACTTGAGAGAGTTCTGACTGATTGTGTTCACACTTAAGCACCTATAACGTAAGTGTAAGACATGTTAGTCTACAATTGCTATACCTTTTGTAAAATGTTGATAACAGTGTTTATAGGTTGGAAGTGGGGGGGATGAAACTTTTTCATTCACATCAAGGGAACCTCAGATTAAAAGAGTTTTGGTACCACCGATCTAGAATATATCTTGCATGTATCTTCTTTAATCATATCTTGTGTCTTGCTGTGGTCAGGTGTCAAAGGGCATGTCATCATATTTGTAGACTTACATTCATTATTTTATTGAACTACTGTTTTATGAATGTATGTCAATAAGTTTGGTATCAAATTGTAGATTATAATTCAAATTTTTAGTATTATACATTAGCAAATTTCTTAATTTAAAAGTAAATATTAAAATAGAATTCTTAAATATAAATTTTTTTGTTTCACGTGGTACATTGAATGCAGATTTGGTTCCAATTATTGATATTGACAAATTAAGATGTAAAATAAGAACCTCCTATCATTTCTGTTTACTGAGATATGACTATATATAACAAATGAAACACAATAATCCCACCCACCTTTTCCATTTTTGGAAATACTTGCTTACAAACACCTGCTTCGGAGCTCAGTAGTTCCTTCACATGGGTTTTTTTCAGCCTTTTTAGGGTATGTTTTTCCCAAGTTTAGACTTTTGTTTCTAATCTCAGAAGGAAGGAGTAAGAGAAAATGGTGTTCGAAGCACAATATTTTTTAGACCCAAATACAGTTTAGTTGGTAAGCCTGATAAATTACAGTGGAATTCTGTGATATTGGTAATTTATAATTTTTTTGTTATTTTAAAATGCATGTATAAACCTAAAAAATTATTTTGTTTTACATCCTCCATGCGTGCAAAATTTGGCAAGGTTTAGCATGCAAGGTACAGCAAGCAAGAACTAACGTCTTTACCATTGTAAATAATAGAGACCGTTGTATTCTATATTTCTTTATTTACTGTTCTATGTTTTATGAAAAATAACTGAAGTTTAAGAATTTATTTGTAAATAGTAATAATATATACATTATGCTATTGGATACAGTAATGTGAGATGCACCGTGACTGTCACTTCTGTAATGTTAGTCAAACATAGCTCAATGGCCAATAAAATAAGAATAACAAATATAAATAGATGTATGATGTTACCAGATTTAAGCTTTTTAGAATAAACCTCTGTAGTTTCATGTTACAGTTTGTAGTCATTCTAGAACCCTGTAGTTCAAGTTCACAAAAACTTTCAAATTAAATTTAAATGCAACAAAATGATCAAAATAAATGTATAGTTTTGAAAAGATCAGTTTTAAAACTACATTGGTGATTGTGTATTAAATTATCAAAGAAACTATCATGTTCTCGTTAAAATGCAGGAATTCATTAACTTGAAAAAAGATCTAATGTTTTAAGAAATTTTAGATGAATAAATACACATGTGAAATTATTCTATTCTTGTAAAATAGATTTAACATTATTATTATAATATTAGTTAAAGACTGAGTAAAGGATTTATATTTTGAAATCTAAGGCAAAAAAATGTTAATATCCAAAACATTTATTTAAATGTTTATACAATAAAACATACCTAATCCTAGTTAACCTACTGTCTACAAACTTATGACTTCTTTTATCCCACATTTTTAAATCTAGAGCCCAATGACAGGTTAGCTAAAGGGTTTGTTAATTTAGTGCTAGTGAATAATTTCATACACAAAGAGTGTATTTTGGTAGGAGTTCAACTCTTTCAGGAACAGATTTCTTTTTTTACCAAATTTTCCCCTAACCTAAAGTTGCTACTTCATCATCTGTGTGGTTTTTATTTATTCTACTGCACTGCTAGTCTAGTTTTAAACTCAATGCAGTGTTCAGTTACTGGATACTCCACTATTAAGAGGCCTCATATGGCCTGGTGGTTATGGCACTAGACTCTCAAGTTCCAATCCCTGTCAAGAAACATGCTTATCCCTTCAGTTGTGGGGGTGTTATAATGTGATGGTGAATCCCACTATTCATTGTTAACTCTTTCACCATGGGCTAGGTCCATGGACTTTACCTCACAACCATTTTGTGTTTGTTATAGTTTTCATGCTATAGCTTTTAAACTCGTAAACATATTTTCATTTAATTTTGCAAATTATCAGTAAAAATTACAAGGCTTTTGTATGCAAAATATCATTTTTTTTATCAAGTTTTAAGATTTTTTTAAGTAATGTTTTTCTCATGGCTTTTTTTCTTTTCCCATGTTGACTATCCAATATGCAAAGTAATTTTATTTTTCAGATTAAAAATACTTTTATGCATCAGAAAATTTTCAAGTTTCACATGCAAAATCTTTATACCATATGTATGGGTTCAGTAGATTTGACCAATCTTGTAACCACCATTAAAAGTAAGAAATAAATATAAATTATGCTTTTTTGTTCTAGAATGACTGCAGATTATAACACAAAAACACAAATGCTTAGTCTAAATAGCTTAAATCTCATAACATTATACATTTATATATATTTATTACTTTTATCATATTGACCTTTCAGTCATGCCTGGCTAACATTACAGAAGTTGCAATGATGTGGCACATGTTCACTTATGTTACTGTATCCAAGAATATAAAACTGACTTTATAAAGTGACCTGTCTTGGCTGTGTTTTAGTGGACTAGTATTTTGTAAAATACCGTCACATTTCAGTTATAATACATTACATATGTATATACTAGGGATGCACGGGTAGTAAAATTGGACCGAATACCAGGTTTGGGCTAAGCTTCAACTGAGGCTGGGTGCCTCCCCCCAAAAAAAACAATAACATACACAAAACTTAGAAACAAAAACAAAATTTATATTTATACATTTAACCAAATAAGCCCCAACTTCTCAAACCCTAACCCCTAATGTTCTTAAAAAACCCACCTTCCCTATTTTTCTCTGAATCCCCAACTTTCAGTGGGTGGTCAGTCTTTGTTTTTTAACTAATCCAATTATTGATTGTAACTTTCAGTACCGCATTAATTGCCACAAAGATTAAGGCTTAGATGCTATTTTCAATTAACTGGATTCGGCTGTTTTTAACTTCAACACTCCGCCCAAGCCGAGTATTACCGAGTAGCCCAATACCCAACCAGGGCCAAATATCTGTGCATTCCTAGTATATACATTATTACTATTTACAGATAAGTTCTTAAACTTGTTTTTCTTCAAACATAAAACAGTAAATAAAGAAGTAAAGCAAACAATTATCTCTTCAAGTTATGACTTTTGTACTCATTTCCTTCCTGCCATATGCTTCTAAGCCTTATCAAATTTTGCACGTGGAGGATGTGAAACAAAATTTTTTTTAGGTTTTATATATACATTTGGAATAAACAAAAATCATAAATTACTATATCAATGCAACAAAATTCCACTGTAATTTATCAAGTTTAGTAACTAAGCTGTATTTGAATCTAAAAAAATATGAAATTTCAAGCTCGTTAAAGACTTACTTTACCAGCTTTGAATCTAGTATGAAAAGAACAAATTTGAAGCCCTAATACTTCAACGATGCTGAGAAAGACACTAGGTTGACGTTCTGAGCTTTCTGTATTGATTCAGTACATGAGCAATATCTCAGCAAATAGAAAATATAAGATGTTATTTTATATTCTAGCTTGTAAATATTGTTAATTTAAATTCCTAATTCGTACAAAACTATAGACTTTGTATTTGGACATCACAGACATCTAATTTGAACCAGTGCTGCATTCAACATACCATGTGACACACAACAATCAATATTTAGGTGGCTTTTTTAATATTTACTTTTAAATTATGACACTAAAATTTGAATTATAATCTACAATTTGATAGACAAAATTCATAAAATAGTAGTTCAATAAACTTTTGAATGCAAGTCAAGAAACGAGATAACATGGTCTTTGACCCGTGACCCATGTCAATAGGGTTAAGGGTAGCCCAAGAGTTGATGGTGGGTGATGTTGACTAGCTGCCTTCCCAGTAGTCTGTCACTTCAAAATTAGGGAAGGCAAGTGTAGGTAGCACAAAATTCAACAAAACAAAATTTCAATTTTGAAATTTCTACAGGAAATAACTTTAACTTTGTCAGTACATTAGCTGTCTGTGTTCCTTTCAGAATTTTTCCCTTGCATCCTTTATTATCACTCACTGATACTTGTGCTATGTATCTTTTCGAGGTGTGGCCCCTGTCTGTAAGATATGACAAATTATATTTTTATATAATGCTTTTGTTTGATTTAAAAGAAGACTTTAAAAAAGGGGGTTTTGAAGAATTAGGTTCATGCTATGTACCTATAAACATGGATTCATGGGCTATTATAATACCGACTGATGAGAAGTAAATAGACCCAAAAATAATTGGATCAAATTTTTTTTATGAGTTAAAATTTTGTTTTGCAAAAAGTTTGTACCCTCGTGCTGAGACAAAAAATGACAACCTTAATGTGCTGACAAAATGTTTGAGCTATGCTGACTCCATACTGCTAAGGAAAGAATTTGGAACTCTACGTGTAACGTAAACTGTTGCCTCAGAGTTAGAGCTCATCATCTTTGTAAAACCTTAATTAAGACAGCCA